AAAAATTCAATTTTGGCGAAAGTCGACTTTCCCCCTGGAAAAACGGAAAATCTGACCCTTTGAAAATCTGAAAAAAACAACTTTTTAAGTTTTCACTTTTTTTACATACTTTTGAGAGTTCTGAATAGCCCGTCGCTTAAATAGTTGGAATCAACGTTCACCCGGCTAAAAAATTCGATTTTGGCGAAAGTCGACTTTTCCCCTGGAAAAACGGAAAATCTGACCCTTTGAAAATCTGAAAAAAACAACTTTTTAAGTTTTCACTTTTTTTACATACTTTTGGGAGTTCTGAATAGCCCGTCGCTTAACTAGTGGGAATCAACGTTCACCCTAAACATGTCCAAGAAGATTGAGGAGGAGCGAGCGAAGGGAGCAAGGAGGGAGCCCCTCGGGGATTGGCGAGCGAAGCGAGCAAGGGGGGAGCTCCCTCGGCAGTTGGCGAGCGAGGCATATTGAATCGCTAGAAACGGTTAAATGGAGCTCAACCGAAAGCTCTGATGTTCGACTACAAAAGTAGAAAAGCATTTCACTGAAGAAAAAATAGCCGAAGTACTTGGATATCTTCAGCCGGTTAATAATTCCAGAATTTCAAAGTCAGATTCAATTCATGACGACTGCCGAAATCATTATCAACTTAAAATTGACCAAATGAAATCTAAATTCAAGTTAACAATGAAATAACTTTTCAATCCTAAGAGAACAAAATAAAAATTCCCCAAACTACAAAATCATTGAGAAACTCCAGTCGTTATCAAGAAGGAACAAAATGAAGTTTCGACAATTACAATAAATTTTTTATCATGGCTCCGCCGTATTTATTGGCTCCAGCTGAAAGCCAGAAATATCAGGTTCTCACTCGCCCGAAATTATCGATATCCAGAAGGTTAATGGGTCATTGAGGCTGAAATGAAGTAAATTGATTGAATAAAATATTTATTCGGCTTCCGCGATGGACCCCAGGGACTCTCCCTGGGGCCGACGATTGAACCTGTCGCCGCTTGATAATGGGTTAATTGGTCATCGCTGACTCCGAATCAAGTTGAAATGTCAATTTCCATTCATTCAATCCGCTGTCATATATCAATGTCACAAAAAGTCGGAGTTGCTATCAATTAGGGGTAATAATCAGCACCACGCGAAAAGGGTGGGTCATATCTACTTCCTGAAATAGAAGTCAAGGTCAACGATGCTATATTTCTCTCATTTACTCAGATAATGAGATCAGTGAACCTATTGAGGGTTCGAGGTCGTATTTATCACTTTGGCGTACACATTGTGAATGAAGATGCAGGATTTCAGCAAAAGCCATAACATCAATTTAGGAAAGTTAAAAAGGGTAATTATAACTTTGCTACTGAGCCTAATGCATAGTTATGAGATATTTCGCTGGTTGAGTTCACTTTAATGGAGTGTTTCCCCTCATTTCCGGAATCTGTGTAGTTTTAAGTCCACTAAACCAGGAAAAGTTCATTACTTTACCCTAGTTTTATATTTTCCTTTATCTCGCGGAAGTGGAAGGGCGAGGATAACTCAGGGACTCGACAACTTCCGGTTTTGTTGGTGAAGGGTGGATAGCGGAAAATCTTATCTACTTCTCATTTTTATTCCTCGTGAGAACACCACATCATCGAAACCGAATGAATTGTTTATTTTTTTTACTCGTGTATTAATGGAATAAGAAATGAAATGGTGTCACAAGGGGATTATCAGTTTTAATATTCAAAATATTGTGCGTACAAAATTTCAGGTCAAGTGATGATTACATAATCTTCATGAATGTTTTTTGCTGCCGAATGGAAGCTTTGTAATCGTTCAAAATTAAGTTTTGCACAGAGAGAAATTTTTTAGGAAAATTATAGTGCTAGCACGGGAAAAGAGGCACAAAGTGACGGCCAGGAAAAAATTCCAGTAATAGAAATTTTATTGGGGAAAACGCGAATTTTTCCCTGTATTTTTGTGAAAATTTCACAGAAATTCCCAGAAATTTTACCTTAACAGCACTAGAATTTTTTACAGCCCGTGCATTGTAATTTTTTCCAGTACTCGTACAAGAATTTTTCTAGAAAATTTCTCTCCGTGTGAATTTTTTGAGTTATATCGACTCAGTAGGATCCAAAAAATTTGAAAATTTAATTTTTAAACCTCGTCTATGTGTGTATGTGTGTACGCCTTGTTGAGCCCTGTGAATTGCAATTAATTCAATTTTCATTCATCGATTAGTTTTTTGAATTTACGAATTTTTTCGAGAATGGGTTGTTCCGCGATAACTAAAAAAAATTCTGAATTGATTGAATGGTGGCTTAAAAAATTTGGTTGGATGCCCTTTTGGCCGAGTTCGAAGATGAACCCGAGTCGAGGATTTGGTTCTGATTGGACGTACACAGGTCTTTCAAGATCTCTCCAGACCTATAGATTGAGCTGGTAAGTCTTAATCAGTTCTGCGACGTAGTTTTCCCGAGACTTTTCGGAACCTCAGTTCTTTTCGGCGCTGAGAAGTCCTTCTCTGTACTACCTAGACCTTGGGATTTCACAAGGGGGTGGAGTGGGAAGGCATGTATGCAAAGTGTCAGATCTTGGATTTTTCGCCAAAATCGAATTTTTTAGCCGGATGAACGTTGATTCCAACTATTTAAGCGACGGGCTATTCAGAACTATCAAAAGTATGTGGAAAAAGTGAAAAATGAAAAAATTTTTTTTTCGGATTTTCAAAGGGTCAAATTATCCGTTTTTCCAGGGGGAAAGTCGACTTTCGTCAAAATCGAATTTTCTAGCCGGGTGAATGTTGATTCCAACTATTTAAGCGACGGGCTATTCAGAACTCTCAAAACTATGTGGAAAAAGTGAAAACTGAAAAAAAAAATTTTTTCACCGGTGGCCAAATTGTCAGTTCTTGAATTTTTCCCGGAGGGAAGTCGACTTTCGCCAAGTGAATGTTGATTCCGTATTTATTGGCCCGTCTAATGTCAATGAAACCCCCACAGACGACAGAAAAGACGAGAAAAAAAATTTTCATTTTCACGTGAGTCAAGGGTCAGATCTTGGATTTTCTCAGAGGGAAAGTCGACTTTCGCGAAAATCGAATTTTTCGGGGAATTCATTCAATTATACGTAAATAAAAATTTTCTATTAACATTTTATCGAAGGGCTGAGGTGAGAGATAGAACCGTAAAAAAGACAATCGGTTGTATAGAAGAAAGGAATAATAAGAATAATTATGATGATAACATTCAACTAAGTTGCAAATCTGACAAAATTAGTTGAAAAGAAATCTCATTCAATTTAATAAAATGAAATAAATAAAATAAACATTCGGAGCCATAGTGCTAATTTATTAGCAAAAATAACTATACTATATGCAATACAAGAGCACCTTCCCACTTGTTTTAATTTTGTTAAAATAACTATAGCTTAATTCTTCTAACATTCATTCTTCCTAATTGTGGCAC